TAATTGATCAATTTATATTTATTCATAAAATTAATTAATAGAATATTATGTAAATAAAAATTAATTTCTGGCAATTTTTTAAATAAAATATTATAAATTTAAGAATTGTTTAAGTTTACTTAATGCGTAACACATTAATAGTGATACATTACTAAGTTGTGTTATTTAAAATATGTCAATTGAAATTATTAAAAATGTGAGTGATTTTGTTTCCATTATTCGTCCGAAACTAATATTCTGTGTTGAGCAGTACAGGCAAGACTCCAAATATTTGTATGTTGCATCTCTAATTTAGTATCAGCAATTGTTGAAAAGAATCTTGTATCTATTTACAATTTAAAAACTTCTTGAAAAGGTTTTTAGCAATTTTTGCAATAACAGGACCCTATTTGCACAATTTCACAAAAGCAGGACCCTGGTTGAAAGAATGTGACTTAACGCTTATTTTATATTCACAAATTATGAATAGTTTTTTCACAATTTTTCAAAAAACATAACCTTTCTCAAAATGTCTGGACAGATCCCTGAAAAACATTGAAACATTTGAACACTGGAATTTTAAATCAAAATTTTCTGTTGTTCGATGCTATTATTATAAGTAATTTTGAATTATTGAAATGTGTCTTAGTGAATAATTTGCTCAAAATACATGTTTTCCTGTGAGTTTTCCTTTAAATTGTAAAATTATATAAACAAATTTTGGAAATAGGTATATAACATACATTATGAAAGAAACCAAAGCTACGTGGAAATCAATAGCATTAACTGCCAAAAAAAATGGAACGAATATTTCCGCAGATATGAAAACCAAACTTTTTACTTCATTATTCTCAAATGAAAATAGAAAAATTACAAGCCTTTTTTTTTTCCATTCCAATGCACAAGAATGGCATATAATTTTGAATATAATTATGGAGAAAAGATAGAAGCTTTCGAAAATTTCTGCAGAAAAGAAAACCAGCATTTTTTACTTCCCAAATGAAAAATCTTTCTGCAAGAACTCAGTAACATTCTGCGACAATGTCGCCACAATTCTGCTACTGGATTGGTGATTTTCTTTAAAAAAAACTCTTGTAAACCTGAAATTTTTATTCTTTTGGTGTTTTATTTAGATTTTCTTTAATTGCAGGCTCATGTGAAATTTCCACCTGATTATCCTTATTCACCACCATCCATCAGATTCCTATCCAAAGTATGGCATCCAAATGTCTATGAAGTAAGGATTTTTTCCTCTTTTTAAGCCACTAGCGAGGCAGCATACAAAATTAATCTATGGAGCATTTTATATATTAAGTTCAGAATAATGTGTAATAATGAGATTTTAAAAAGTACTTTTTACAATGTTTATAGTGAGTGACAATGTTTAAAGTTGAAAAGTTAAGGGTGTCTACGTGCCATCTTAGTGATTTTTTAAAACTGTAAAGTGCATTATCAGATAAATTTAGAAACAAATTTTTTTTAATTTAAAATGACCTTATTTAATTAGATTTGAAATAGAATTAAAATTTGAAGTTGAATAATGTTCGATATTTAATTGCTCATTATTGATAAATGTTTTTTCTTCCAACAATTTGAACATTAAATTTTTTAATATTACTCACAAAATTATTTATGTAACTCATTAAATTATAGTTTACTGTTCTGTAAGTTTCATACAGTATTTTCTTTTAAAGATATTTTTTCATGTTATATATTTTTTAATCAATTGATGTAATAAATAGCTTTTTTTTGTGTTGCTTTCTGTTTTAGTTGTTTAATTTTGTGACACAAAGAAATTGTATTTAATTAATTTTCTCACCTTTTTATTATTTTTAATTAGTTTAATACAATAGTATTGAGTTAACATTTCTTTTGTTTTTAAATAAGAATGGTGATTTGTGCATTTCTATTCTCCATCCACCAATTGATGATCCTCAGAGTGGTGAACTTCCTTGTGAACGTTGGAATCCTACTCAAAACGTTCGGTAAGCTTATATAAATAAATTTCTTAAAATTTCTTTGTATAGTCCAAAGATTGTTATTTGTGCTTCTAGGAAATAATTTGTGAAAAAAATGTCATTGCATCAATATTAAACTGTAACCATCAATATTAAACTATTTATTTTTATTTATTTTATAAACGTTGTTGAACGGCCAACCTAATTCTGTAAATTTGCATCACTTTTGGTAATTCTGAAATGGCATGCTCATTTTTTTTTATGCCTTTGTATTTTGCCTTTGGAAGTAGAATTAAAAAATTTATTAAAATTTAAATGAAAATTTATAGGTTTCGCTTCTAGGCTACCTTAGTTTTACCCACCATAACTAAACAATTTCTTTTTAGTAGTTTTCAACCTATAACCATTCTAATAATTGAAACATTGATGGAATGGCGAGTAGACACTTTTCTTATTACAGGCACTCTTTCTGTGCTCCATTTAACAGATTTAATTGTGTACATTTTTTACCATTCAACTAATTTTCTTTCCTTCGAAATTGAAAAAATAAATTTAAAACTACTGACTAACGAAAATTAAAATCATGTATGTTTAAAATTATGGTAATAAAATTATTAAATTTTTGATATGGAGTACAGTAAGCTGATTTTATGAATCAATGACATATGTTTTTTCTATGTATTATACTTAATTTTATTTTTAGTGTGTAAGAAATTTAATTATTCGATTGTCAGTTATAAAAATTATTACAAATCATGTTATACTGTATTATTTTTTATGTAAGCAATATTTAATTTTCAGCACAATATTGCTCAGCGTTATTTCACTATTGAATGAGCCTAATACTTATTCTCCGGCAAATGTTGATGCTTCGGTTATGTACAGGCGTTGGAAGGATTCAAAAGGCAAGGATAAAGAATATGAAAACATAATTAGGTATTTGGATTAAGTTGCTTTTTTTTTACTTATTTTTGTTATGGTGATGTTGTGTTGTCTTGTAGTTTTTTCAATATTTTTATTGAATTTAGTATTTCCACATCACGACCCACTAGGCAACTAAATATAGCTGATGATAACTTTGAAAAATTGTTTTTCTATCCAAATGCCACTTTTTTAATTAAAAAAGCTTCTCGTAGACATCTTTTAATTTTTTGTAATTGAAATTTTAATCAACATTTTATAATCTTAAAATCCCTTTATTTCTCAATTTTCCTTCATTTTAGATTTAAAACCTGTTATGGTTATTATATTTGCTTCAAAAGAAATTTCTTACATTATCAATATCAAGTTTCTAAATTTTCACAAAGTGGACACTGAGAAATTTTACACCTGGCCTGTAGCAAAATTTCCCAATTTCGCCCTATAACTTTCAGTAACTTTTTGTGCAAATCTGCATAATTATCAAAATATATACTGACAAATTGTTATCTCTAGGCTATTGCAGTATTTTTCATTCTGTTGAGGTCACATATCTGTATGTTGGTTACATGGTTAATTTTATTTGAAACCCAAACTCAGTTTCAATCTGCTTGTTTTCCCGTCTGACTAAACAGCTTTGTCTAAGTTATTTAATACAGAGTGGCAATGGAGAGAAAAATCTGCTTGTTTTCCTGACTGGCTAAACAGCTTTGTCTAAGTTATTTAATACAGAGTGGCAATGGAGAGAAAGAAATTCTAAATATGCTTTAAATCTGTTTTTTTAATTTTCACAAATAAGCTGATGATGGATATTTACTATATTTGGCTGTATCTTCCAATGCATGTGAAATTAAAGGCTGGCACCTATGCTCTTTAAGGAATGCTGTCGTAATGAAAACGCTGATAAAAGAAAAGTAAATTTAAAAAATCAAAAGAAAAACAAAGTTTTTTCTTACTTCTGAAATATAACTTAAGTTAAAAAAATTTGATAGTCGCAGTTTTCCTTATTGTTAGTTATCTGTCAAGGAAAATTAGATATATTAGAAGTGCTCTGTTAACATGCTTTAGTTAAAGTAGAAAAACAAGCAAAAATTAAACTAAAAAATTCTAAATTTTTAAAACAAAGTGTTGAAAAAACGAAATTGACTTTCCTGAATATAATTTTAAAAAAAGAAGATAAAAAAAATCAGCATTACAAAACTCATGGTTTGATAACAAAGTAATCTAATTTCAATTTTTCAAATTTCGCTTTTCCAACTTTTTATTTATGTTCTTTCAGAACACAAATAACAAGTTTCAGAACTTAACAAATATGTGTAAAAACTATTAATAATGTATAGTAAAATCTATTAAATAAATTATTAAATCTATTAAAATTTCTCCCAAAAAATCTTTGTCTAAAAATTTTCCAAATAATAAATTGAATATTTAGCCAAATATTCGGCAAAAGAGCCGAATACTAAATATGGGCCAAATAACTGTTACATCCCTACTCAATACCACAAAATGCATCATTTTATTGCTTTAAAGTTTTGTGGAATTAATAGAATTTCTAAAAAATATCAAGGGCTATTTCTCTTAGTCTAATAAAGCTACCCTTTTATTTCCCACATTTTTTTAAAGGTTTTATGCTGTTTAATAATACTGTATAATAGTATAATACTGTATGATTGGAAGTTAAGTGCAAAATAATATAAATAAAACACAAATTAGTTTGATCTAAAATCCAAGTTTGCAAGAGTACTCTGATAGACGCCTCTTGAATCTGAAAACAATACTTTTATTAAAATAAAACAGTATGTAAACAAGGCATGGCAAAAATATCTTAAAGATTCTTCATAATTTCCTTTCTCAATTCTCATGTATTTCTTTATTTTGAAGAAGTAATGAAGCAAAATCATTTTATTTTTCTCTCTCCTCTAAAACTTAATTCTTATATAACTAACAGAAAGTATAATTATATTTAAAACTAACTGGAGAGTTTACTGGACTATCAATCTTGTTATTTTTATTATATTACTGGTTTTTAAATTTGAAATTAGTAGTACCTATATATTTCTAATATAGCAAATCATGACTCTATGAGATCATCATTCAGAATTTTTTAACGTTAATTTTAAATTTGTCTGCTTTATAGTTGAAAAGTTAATTATGTTTTTTAAGAATGGTAGATAAAATCATCAGTTTTCTCTAGAGAACAATTGTGTTTGTGATTAACATATTCTTGAATGTAAAATTAGGAAGGTTTAGCTAAAATGGATAATTTTGTAGTTTGAGTTACAATTATAGTCTCAAATCCCAAAAATGGTTAAAAAGAAAAAAATTTTAAAAAATTTTTGCTATATTTTTAAGATGTCAATACATATTTAGCTTATTATTTATGTATAAATGCAGTTTCTAACTCTGCTGAATTTCTGAGTATATTAACAGGTTTTATCAGTTTTTCCTAATTTAATCAGAAATTTTCCTACTTTCTGTATATAAGATTGTCTTACTCATTTAATGTCAATCATAAATGGAAAATACTGCAGTTAGCTTATCGTTATAATTATTAATGTATTATAGTCTTTTTAATAACTATAAAAATTTAAAATTTCCTGTAGTAATATATATTAGGTGGTGTTACCCAATAGTTGTATGAAATTTATGTTTCATACGATCTATTGGGTTTTTCCCTTTTCATGTTGATAATTTGGCTGTGTAAAAAATTATTAATTTTTATAACTTAACTCTAAATAAATGTATCTCTTGTAACTCATGTATTTTAGATTTTCTTTTAAGATAATTGTGATTGTATGCCAAAAAATTATGGGAGTAAATTTTTCAGAAAGAAGTCTTTAAAATCTTTCTGTTTTGCTATTTAAGAAATCTATGAGAGAAGTTATTTTAATTTTTTTATTCTGTAAAAGTGCACTTTAATAATACAGGTTTTTATTCTTGAAACTGACTGTCTTAAGATTTATTATTTATTTTCATAAAAATACTTAATAATTTATGTTTGAATTAAGGAATCGCAAAATTATTTAGTTTTAAAATTAATACAAATTCTAATCATGAAGGTAAATAAGTTACAAGTATGTATTATATGCATAGTTCATTCTCTTGATCAGTTTCTTTCTTTCTTTCTTTTTAATTTGAATCTATTACTTATGAAGACAGGGTAAAAATTTAATGTTCACTATATAAATTATCTCCTTAATTTCCCCTTTTAGTTTGGTGTTCATATTATGAATGTCATGAGAAGAACTAAAGAGTATGAGGTCATGCTTTTTTAATGATCTTTATTAGATATTCTTCTATGTGAACTCATTTGGTATTTAAAAGTTTTTGTTACAGTGTAACTTTGACTGTAATTGTCTGTTTGTGCCATGCAGTTATAATACCATTTGTGGAGAGCACGATCCTGGCGATCAACTAAACTGGTATCCGTATGTGGCAGTACTTAGAGTACTTTAAGTATATCGTAACTGAAAGTTTCTTTATTCTGTCAAGGCTTAGGGAGAAGGGTTTCATATGGTGTAACTTTGGTTAAAATTGCATGGCATTCCTACCATGACAGGGTAGGAATGCCCACCAGGAAAACCTTGAAAACCTGGAATTATCAGGAAATTTTTTTTATACTGGAAAAAACTTGGGAAAATCAGAGAAATTTGAATAAAAATCAGGAAATTTTAAAGAAAGCTGGAAATTTTTTTAATTGCATTAATTTAAATTATTTACTGATTTTCTTAATTTAAATTATTTCATCCATTATACCCACTTTTTTTAGATGGAAATGTATCTCCAAGCAGTTAAAATATCATCAACTTAGCAATACTTTGCTTGCATCAAAATTTGCTCCATTATAGCTCTGTTAAACTAGAATGCCACATAAAATTCTCCCATTGTTGCTAAGCGAATGTGGAAACCTTTGACCGCTATGGACTGTGCAATTTAGGAAAGATTGTGGTGGAGATGGAAGAAGGGATTAGGATATTAGCTTCTGTTTTTAAATTCTGTCCTTGGGCTGAATCCATTTATGGCTTAAGTTTGTTCCAATTGATTTCGTAGTAATTTTCCATTTTGTCAAAATGTTTTTGCATTTTTAACTTTATAAAATTCTCCAAAAATTAGTTGGTTATAATTTAATAATAATAGATTTTATATTGCACTCTTTTTCTGAAAGCTTTTGTATCCCCATTAAAAGAAATCTGTGAATTCTTTTTTCTCAGCAAACCAACCAATCACATTTTTTTTTACAATCGCTAACAGCAATGTTTATCGACAAATTGTTACAATCGTTGCATTAATGCTAATAATGCTAATTTTAATTTTAAGAAAAGGTTTTTTTAAGAACTAACTATATACTAATATTTAATTTTACTCTTTTGTTGGTCAATATATGATTTTTGATTCAAAATTTTGTACCAAAACATTAAAAAATGAATAAAAATATCTTGCCAAATTGTCAAAATAAATTATTTTTTTCAAGATATGTTAAGAAAGTAACATTTTGAATAAAATATTTTATAATATAGACACTTTTCTTGCCTACACTTTATGAGAATAAAGAAACTAAAACCTGGAAATTTTAAAATTTTTATCTGGAAAACCTGGAAAAATCAGGGAAATTTGAAATCTGATTTGAATGGCCACCCTGCATGACCAATACAAGATAGAGCCCTGAGAAAATGAGGTTATGTGCTAGGTCATGTTTGAATAATATTTCTAAATATAACAAAAGCTTTGTGTTTGGTAGTACTAATACATAGTTTTCCATGGTTAACATTAATTAGTCAATTTTTTATTATTTTAAATTTTTTTTAATTAATGTGTATTTTTATTTATGTGCTAATTTAAAATTATTAGGAAACAAGTTTCTGCAACGCATGCCGAAGCTACAAAAGATAATGTAATAGTGCCTATGACTCTTGAAGAATATTGCATTAAGCATACAGCTAAACCATCTGAGCAAGAATCCGATATGACTGATTTCTACGATGATGATTATGGAGATGACATGGATGAGGAAGATGAGGATGAAGAAGATGAGTATGATGAGGATAATGAAGATTCTGGGAATGGTGAAACATGATATTTTGGTTTCATCTTTCCTAGTATCATTTCAATTGAATTTTATTTGTGAAGCAAGTTTTAGAGCCATACCAAAAATGTTGCAATTTATGGGCAAAGAGACAATATTGCGGAACTTTTATGGCAAGGTGTTATAAAAACACATGTGTGCTTAATGAAAATTGCATTATGTAGCATTCATCAATGACTCCTTATCATTATCAGAAACATTTCAAAAGTTAACCTATGAAATGTTTCTACATCATTTAACCAAGGTGTTCATCAGTCTTAAATAATTTGCATTTATCAGTTTTATCGTCTTGATAGAGTGTTATTTTAAGTCTTCCATTGTGTGATTGGGTTTTTTGATGGAAGTTGCAAGATTTCTCTAATGTACAGAATCATCAAGAGTAATCTGTAATCATTGTTTTGTTTTCCCTGCTTAATAAATTATTATTTGGGACACATACTGATTTTCTTTCATGCGTGAATTTATTGCTTTATTCTGCTTAATAATGTTTAAGGTAATAGTTTATAAATATATAGAATAGTTAATTCTGTTTATATTATACTGCTGTTAAATAATCATTAACTATGTAGCTTTCGTGAACACAATTAAACATTTTGCATTTTTTAAGAACACTTATGTATTTAAATGCGGTGCCTTCCTAACACTTAACGGAGTTCTGGACAAAACATTTTGTGCAGCTATTTCAACATTCCTTTTCCACGAGACTTTTATTTTAACGAAACTTGTTCAATTCTGTTAGATTTTTGCCAAAGTCTTCTAAATTTTTTTTAAAATTCTTTTCAAATTTAATTCTGTAATATGAGCAACATCACATTTTTTCTATACATTTTCTTTTCAAATACTATTTTGCTGTTAATCTTTTATCTATGAAATATATGACTTAGAACCCGTTGAAACAAAGGAATTTTGGACTTATTTAAACAATTATCTAAAAAAATTAAAGTAACACCTTATTTTTTATTTCTCTAAATAGTTTTCATGTGTAGGGCTTCTATAAATTTTCTGCCATTGCCTTCTGTAAACATGCTTAAGCTATACTGTAATATGATTCAAACAGAAAAAAAAGTTTTTTTTTTTTTTTTGAATGTCTGTGGTGTGGGACCATTTAGAGTCCTTAGCTGTAAGAGTTCTAAGGAAGTAAGATGGTCGTCCTTCCCTTTCCACCACTCTGATAAAATAATCTGAAACTTTTGGAGACTAAGAAACAGTTTGTTATAATGGGTAAATGATATATTTAGTAGAATTATATTTAAGGCACATCAGTAAATATCTAAAATATGTTTTTCTTAGTGATTAATCGAATTGCATAGTAAATGAATAACATTTTTATTTTAAACCGAGTGTATGCTAGCTAATACAATAAGTTATGCATATGGCAAATAAACAAAGACTTCCTTTTTACATACCTGAAAATGGCACTCATTACAAATTATTTTTTCAGCAAATTTGCCTTAAAATTTAATTGCTTAGATTACGTTGATTTTGTTTCTGATGCCTTTGGATGTGTACTTCTATATTTCAGGCATTAAAAAAAATAAAAAAACAATTATGATTTAATGTTTGATCTTTTTAAAAATACATGCTGAACATATTTTTTTTTAAATTTAATTTTTAGTATTATATCTATGGTAATAAGGACATGGTATTAATTTCTATCTCAAATTTTGAAGTTGTATCTAAGAAGTCATATTGATTTTTGCATAACAACTTTGAAACAAAATAGGAATTGATTTAAAAGCTCAAGAAGTTATTAACAATATACTTCATAGTTTTGCATGTATTTATCGGTTTCCTTTTTTTTTTTTTTTTTTTTTCATAAGGAGCATTTTTTATATGTTAAGTTTTCAAATTAGATTTTTTTTTTAAATTTAAGGAATAAAGTAGCTTTCTACATTTAAAAGTAAAATCTTTTTGTTGAAGCACAAATTCCAAAATTTCTGGATTGTGAATTCCAGAAAATTCACCAGTTTTAAGTAGAAATTTATGTGATATAGGATTGAAAATAAGTTAGATAATTCTCAGTTAACAAAGAAAATAAAAATTATTTCATCCTGTTTCCCCCCCCCTTCAATGTTTGTTTTTTTAGATGTATTAGTCTCATGACCAAAAGGTCATTTAGAGTGCAGATTTTTAGGCATTTCTTGAATAATATAAATTAGCAGTTTACTTTTTTTTTTGTGTTAATCAGAGATGATTGTGCTCCGGAAAAAGTCCGGATTTTTCGCCAACTGTGACCCTGAAATTTTCGGAACTCCTAGGTCCAGAAGTTTCAAGAAATCATCGATCATATTTATGTATGAAAATTCTTGTATATTTTATTTAAAAATATTAGAACTAGAATTTATACATGACATCACTTTCATTTGTAAATATTTTTTCTGGTAGAATAAATGTGATTAGAGGTAAAAGTAAACTTATACAAAATTATTAATTTAAATTATACTGCTTGTTTAGAATTTCATGTTTTGAAAATATCAAGGATTTAAATTTAAAAGGACATAAATTTTTTGAACTGCATCATCAATGATTTGACTCCAGAAATTTTCAGGATTTTTGAGTTGGGCTCACAATCACCCCTGGTTAATAAATTATCCAGCTCCTCTATTCATTATTATGTTAAATGTTTGTTGGACAATGTTATTTTCCAATTTTAAACATGTTTTCACCCATATCTGTTTATGCAAAATGTAAAAAAGTTAAGATTTTTTTTTAAATGAAAATTATTGTAAAATAAACAATGTAATAGCTATTGACCAATATCATATTAGAACTGTGTATTGAATGAAAATCTGCATCAGTATTAAGGAAAAGGATTTTAAATTGAAAGAACTTATAAACTCTGCACTACAGTGCTGAAAAGTGGATCTTTCAATGAAGACATCTATCCCTTTCAAGGTAATTTTCAAATAATGAAAGTAATATCTATTTCAATAATAGAAAAAAAGATATATTTGATTTTTAGTAAAGAATTTTCACATATATTTACCATTTAAAAGGAATGACTAATTCTAATCACACTGGAAAAATCTTAATACTAATTCTATATTTTAACTAAATCTAAATTAATTTTTCTTAAAAAAAATAAGTTATTGGATATATTAAAGAGAATCCATATTTGGAATTTTAATAATTTATGGTTGTGAAATAGGGATAAATAAGCTCAAATAGATACATGTGTACTTTGGCAAGTATGGACAGACGACTCACTTTCATACAATATTTTTTCAAATTTGTAGTTATTTTAATCTAAGAGAAACAATAAGTAGTCATTGGAATTTCTTTAACTTACAAAATCAACTATCGAAATTTTTTTAATATGAATAAAAAGGAATTTTTAAAGTACTTTCTTGGATTTTATATTTCAGTACAAATTTTATTCTGTTAATCTAGCATAATTTTTTTTTACTTACTACTAGACTGTATTTTATAATTAAAAAATAACAAAATATAATTATTTTTTTACTTGTAATTAGGGAGTCAGAATATACAAGGGGTGGACAAAATAATTGAAACCTATACAAATACATTTTTTCATATTTCTCTAGAAATACTCAACGAATTATTTTATAATTTCAGAGTTGTTTAGATCATGCGATTTCTCACACATATCAATAAAGTTTAATGCTTTTAGAGGTTGGAAAGACCGACCATGAATTACAAACGGAAAATAATGTTTTTAAACACTTTATGCCAAAAAATGTAGCACTTTGTATCTTGAGACAGTTATTTTGGTTATTATATGCGATAATTACACAAAATTTCGTAAGCCAACTTAAATGGTTATGGAGAAGTGGACATTTTTATAAGAAATGAAAAAAAAAAATTTTTTTTTGTCTTACGTTTTTTTCCTATATCTGTAGAAATATTCACTAAAATTAAACAATTTTTTGAGCAATTCAAAATTAATGAAAAATTTTTTGCTTTAAATTTGAGAAAAAATCGTTTAAAACTGCGCAAGATATGAGTAATTAAAGTAGTTCTTTTATATTGCACTTGCATCGGAAAAAATTTTCTTAATTTCTTATTGCATTGTATTTGACAACCAAAAGAAATGTCTGACTTAAACATCTTAAAAACTTTTAAAACAATTTTCCTTGTAGTTTTCGTACATTTTAAAAGAATACTCAAAATGATAAGGTGTTTTCCATACATTTAATTGTGTACTAGTAAACAAGATTTAATAAAAATGACACCGGAATTGTTGGTAATTATCCCTCATGAGAGTATCTTCCCCCGCCTATTTTCTTTCCTTATTATATCACATTTTGGTGTATGAACGTTTATTGTGAAGTATCATTTTGTATTTTCCGTTAAAAAGTACGAAAGCTACTTTGAAAATTGTTTGAAACTTTTTAAAATTTTTAAGATATTCAATTAGACTTTTTTAATTAGTAGCCAAATATGATTCACTACAAAATGAAGAAAATATTTTTTTTCCCCGGGCATGCGCAGTATAAAATAAACTATTTTAGTTACTAATATCTAACGCAGTTTAAAACGAATTTTTCTCAAATTTTAAAGCAAAAATTTTGTCATTAATTTTAAATGATTCTAAAAACTTTGTTTAATTTTCTAGAATATTTTTTAAAGTTGTAGCAAAGAAAACGTAACACAAAAAAATTAATTATTATAAAAATGTCCATATCTCCATAAACATTTAAGCTAGGCTTACAAAATTTTGTGTAATTATTGCCTATATTGTAAACAAAGTAACTGCCACAAGTTACAAATATATGACTAATTTTTTTGGCATAGACTGTTTAAAAACATTATTTTCAGTTTGTAATTTATTGTCGGTACCTCTAACCTCTAAAAGCGTTAAACTTCATTTATATATATGAGAAATCGCATGATCTAAACAATTCTGAAGTTATAGAATTATTCGTTGCGTATTTCAGGAGAAATATGAAAAAAAGAATCAGTATCGAAGTGTTTCCATTATTTTGTCCAGCCCTGTGTGTGTATATATATAAGCGACACCGGTGTCTTGTCTACGTTAAAGGATTAAAATTTTATAACTCAGAAACTATTCGATCGATTGCCATAAAATCATGTATTTAATCATTTAAAATTACATTCTTTAAAGCGATGTGAAAAATTGTTAACATTAAAATTTTAAAAAAATAATTCGAGTGCTTTTAAATGAAATATTAAAAATAATAATCATTAAAAGTTATTTTTTGAGGGCAATTATCCTTAAATAAACGAATTTTAAAATTGTTTGCAAAAAATTTTTGATTCACAAAAAATACTAGAGTTATGACGAAATATTCAATAAGTAAAATTAATTAACGTTAAGGAGATAAAACTTTTGACTGTTTTTATGATTAAACTATTGGAACCATAATTTCCAGATTGCGGCTTCTCATATTTTGAGGGTTCTAATTCGTCGTTAAAAAAAAAAAAGCTAATTCTGAGAAAGTACGTTTTTATG